GTTAAATAACCGACTCACCAGATGGATTTTGGCTATTCAAGAATACAACTTCGAGATCGAACACTGCAAAGGAACGGACAACCAGACAGCTGACACCTTGAGCCGGATCATCCATCCATCAACCTCCGATTCTCAATCTCGTTCCTCACCTGAGCTCATCGTCTCTTACATTAAGAGAATCATCAACCCTCAGCTGCGTAATGACTTTTTGAATTTGCCCAGACTTCAAGCAGAAGATCCCATCCTCAGGATACCATATGCTACTCTTAGACTTGGACCTGATTCACCCTTGTATGAACAGATATCACGGACCTATAAATTGGACCAAGAAGTACTTTACCGCAAGCATCGAGACAACTGGCTGATAGCTACACCAGAGAACATCATCAACAAGCTCATTTGGGAATGTCACCACCACTACCTTCATTGCGGGGCGAAAAAGTGTCTTACCATCCTGCAAGAGTGCTTTATATTCAAAAATATGGGGAGACGAATCAGAACCACATTAGCGACCTGCGACTCATGCCAACGTTGCAAAGTAAACCCACATCCACACCATGGATTAGCCAAAGGAATTCACTGCACTGCAAAAAATGATTATCTTGCCATAGACTTAATTGGACCGCTACCCACCAGTGTAGGCAACACTAAATTCATCCTTATAACCATTGATATATTCACTAAATTTATAAAACTTTATCCAATCAGAAGCGCTAACACCAAGACCATCATAAATAAACTCTTCGGTACACATTTCATACAATTCGGAAAACCCAGAAAGATACAAAGCGATAACGGCTCTCAATTCAAAAGCCGAGCTTGGATAAAAACTTGAGGAGAATAACATCATTCCTATCTTTAGCCCTGTATATCACCCTTGTTACAATATGGCTGAACAACCTATTAAAGAGGTTAAAAGATGCTTAAGAACCTATTGCTCCCATCAACACAGAAATTGGGCACGCTTTATTCCTGACATTAACAAGTTTTTAAATGAAGTGCACCATGAGACGACCGGATTCACTCCGAACGAGCTACACTTAGGCCGAAGAGATCCACGCTTCTGGGAGAGGTACATCACTAACCCTTTCATTACAGATATACCAATGGAAAGAAAAGTCTTTCTAGCTTCTCAGCGAATTAGAGAGAAGAGAAGGAAGAGAGCAGCAAAATTCAATAGACATCATAAAGCCACCACCTTTCAACCAAACGACTTAGTTTTGATAAAAGCACATCCTCTATCACATGCTATATTAGGAGAGACTGCAAAATTATTCGATGTGTATGAAGGACCGTTCAGGATTCACCGAGCACTAGGAGATTCAACGTACATAGTTTGTCTTCCAAATGAAGAACAAGAACTTGGACCATACCATGTTTCTGCACTCAAGCATTACCTACCTCCGATCAATGAAGAGATCTAATCACCAAAAACCTGTCAAGTTTATTCATGACCTAATTGTAAACTAGTGTACATGTTGCTCGAATTCGAGCAATTACAAAGTATTACAGGAGTTATTTCAGATTGAATAACAGTCATATTTACAATGAATTTAAAAGAGTCAACTCAAATATTGCCGTTGTGTAACTCAGACCCTGTTTATCTTCGTTATTGATAAACCTAAAGCATTCCGGACGGTTCTCTCCTTCTCAAAATGCCTCGCTGTACAGGCAACACAGGTCATTAATAGAGGGCCAATTGAGAACGAAAAGTCGTTTTGGGGTAGTGTAAGGGCGCATTCGTAACCAAATAGTTGAAGTTTTCCAGGTTCATGTTGAGACTGTTAAGCTGATGAGTTAAGCCTATTACGCGCCACTGTTCTGTAGTTGCGGTCGTTATCACGATTGCGCCTCCTGTCTATGTTTCGTTGTCGTTGCGTCGGAGACATTTAAAAGAAATAAACAACAAATAATAAACAAATTATAGCTACACAAAACGACGATAAATGCACAAATTTAAGTTACAATCATGCTAACACAATCCATCATAGCGACACAAAACAACGATAAATACACAAATTTAAGATACAACCATACTAACACGATCCGTCTTGGGGGTTATGTTTACACAAACTCAAATAGTAAATAAATGTACTCAATGTGTTTCATTGAATTGAAAAGTAAATAACAGCAATAAAATTATACAGCTGATCAAAATGTAAACAATTATGTTCTTCATAAGGATAACATGGGAACTTTTAAAGCCACTGGGGCAGAGCCCAAGGGACTTTTTCAAAAATGTAAGGTCAGTTTGCAAATCTACGTGACACGCTCTTTCCAATGAGACGTCAATGGATAAAATCGGTTAAGAAATGGCGGAGGAGTTCAACCGACAAACTTTCGTGTAGCGTATTAATTATATAGATATTGTATATAATATCATTCTTTTCATATTGATCTATTCAAGTGAATTCGTATACCTCATTAATCTCCCAAGAACTTATCAACTTTTCTTTGTTTCACCTTGTTCATTACTATGTTTTCTCTTATTCAGAAGATACAACTTGTTAATTTTAAGTATTTTCCTATTCCAATATTAATGTTTTCTATGATAATTTTGTTCACATTATTCGAAATCTAGTATTGGATACTCAAATACCAGATTTCTGAGGGGATATTTGAGTTGTTCCAAAATTATCCTCATTGTTTACTTTTGAATTTGTATATAAGTTGAATGTTAATAAACCATGTGTTATGTATCCAAATACCTAGGCCTACTATTAGCTAAATTAATACCTCTAAATTATCACATGTGTTTACATACAGTAAAAGGGCAAAAGGTTCCACCTATTGTAAATTTCCATATTTCACATTCTCATCAAACACTGTCACTTATTTAATAAGCTAAATTTATAATCACTGGAAGTTATTTATACAGTTTGAATTATTTTACAAAATTATTCTTCTCTTTCACTTTCAAAAATGTAATTAAAATACTCTTCATATAATACCAACCAATCATAAAAGTAACAGTGAATAGTGACATCAAGAAATCAGTGAACTAATTGTTGAAACAGATGTATGAAATTGAACATCAAGAATCAAGATTTTTTCAATTGAGAATAAGTAATGAAGAAGCAAGACAGGAAGATGATTTAAAAATAATTTAATTTAATTTAATTGGTGATTTAACTTTACAGTATTTAAAATATCAAGATTTTTCTCAATTATTTAATACATATCATTTCTACCTCAAGAAATATATTTGTGGAGAAGACTACTATAAACTTTTGGGTGAGATCAAACTGAACTTGTACTTTGCTAAATACTCACATTCCAAAATTTCTATTGACTTTTGCCGTTTTGAACTTTAACCTAAATTATCATTTTACTAAATTCAAAATTTGAACTTTCGTCTTTTCAAAAGTGTAAATTGAACTGTACATAACTTGTGATGAACATTAGGCTTATGCCTATCCAACATCACATAAGCCTACTTTAAGCCGGCATATTCCTAGAACCCTGAGATTAAGAGTTTCATCTAAATATATAACCCTACTTATTTGTACAATTTGACTAATAAAAGGTTTATATGTATTCATCATTTTAAACCTTGGACATTTATTTATTATTTATTTACCAAATAAAGATAAAAGAACTTTACACACTAAAAAAACTTGATACATGACTAGAAACTTCCTCATCTGTTACTTTTGGGCCGAGACTGGTAACGTAAATCCAGGACAGTCTATCTACAACGGCTAATTTAGAACTATTATTTGCACTTCCCATAATCAGTTGATTCGACGTTCTTTGTTTTCGGTTGTCGTTTGCACTCGATCTCAGTAGGCCTATAGATTTCCTCGGCTTCTTATATGACACTAAGTTAAAACCTTCAGCATCGACACTAACACCATTATTTGTAGAAATAGGCCAAGCTTCAGAAGCCACGCTGCCGCTAACGTCACCGTAGATGTTTCCCTTCATCATAGCCTCGCCCTTATGTTGGCCTTGGCCATCTAGACCTAGCAAGTCACGTGACTCCGTTAAGCCTAGCCTACTCCCTGAATCAGTCACAATTTTATTAATTTGGGAAGATCCCTTATTTTTATCACCGTTTGAAGTCGCCACTGCTTCCTTATAGGTTTTTTTTTATTTTCTTATCCTCATCTGCTCCGACAACGTCAACTATGATTGAAGATGAATTTGTTATCAATGTACTAACCTCGGCTTTCAACTCGGCGGTGTTATACTGCACCGAAAGTACATTTTCCGACACAGTTTTCAAATCTTCTGTAAGCTCAGAAATTTGGTCAGTCAGTATTTTAATGTAGCTAAAACAATCACAGCACAAATTTTCCTCTGTTTTCTTTAGCTTACTGTTGCTTGGAGTCTTCTTCGCTCGCTTAATGTCTTCTTTGCAGGTCTTACAAATCCACTCTACAGTATCCTTAATGTCATCAATCTTAAGATAATTTTCTTGAGAAACATTCACACAAGAAATATGGAACCATTTTTCGCAGTTCCCGTCACAAAATAATGCATCTTCAGTATCTAAAACATCATTTTTACACACACCACAAGTAACCTTTTTCTTCCCTCTCGCCATGTTGCTACGTCACTGATTGTCTAACAATTGTCTAACAGGTAAGACAGTAAGTTTAACCGGAACTTTTTAATGATTCTACCTCTCTCAGTGATAAAGGAAGCTTATTATACAGTTTGAGACCCATATAAAAAGTACTCTTTTCATAATTTCTTGGACTGGGGATATTTGAATCAATGCTGTTCCATGGTTGAGGGTAGTTTGGACTTTATAGTCAGGCGGGGCAAATTTAGTTATTAATCTATTTAAATTTCTTTATACTTCCCTGTAACAGCAAACCTAAGTACTCGATGAACTCAAAATTATTTAAATAGTGAATAAATCTGACATATTTCAAGAAATATTTAAGTGAAAATCCGATGAAATAACTCTAGAAATTAACTTAGTCCAGCTAGGCTGTTTTTCTACAACAGGGGTATTTTGCTTTGAGTTAATAATGCACTACAATTTTCAGGCTCTAAGACAATTGAAAATGCGAAATATCACTGAATTCCGTTCCATGAGTGGAGGCCAGGCCGTGGAAATGGCAGCATCTCGTGGAAATGCCAAGAAGTATGAGTTTGGCATCCCAATGCTTCAATACAAGAACTGTGACTTCAGTTTTTCTGGCTTAAAGAATGCTCTCAAAAGAGTTATAGACGCAGAAGAAAAAAAGTATGGTTAGTATGATACTTAATGGATTGTTTAGTTCCAATGATGTAGTTTTTAAAAATAAAATAACTGAAATATTTGTTTGTGTCGTACATTGGATGCTGAAGTCTGACCGACATAAGAGAAATATACGAGGGCTATGCAGAAAATGACTATCGTTTTGGCCTGCCGCGGCAGTAGGCAGTGCTAGGACCGCTATCTTGGGATCCTACACTCAGTACGCAACCAGCCGTTGTAGCTAGAGCATCAAGTCTTCTGTGCCTTTATGCAGTAGAGTTTTAAAGTAGTCGCTGAAAATTGAAAATCCCACAAGTCATGAAGTGCGTGGTGTGAAGGTTTTTGTTAGCGAAAAATTACAAACTGTTTGAAATCTATCGCCAGATTTGTGATGTTTACGGCCAAGGAATAATGGGTGAAAGCCGAGTGAGTCAGTGGTGCATTGATTTGAAAAATAGCAAAAAACGAAAAACAAAATGTTCTCGAACAGGATTGCAGTGTTAGGTTAAGTCTTGCAACTGATGAATTGGTGGTGAAAATCATGAGAAATCGATAAAAATTGTCATTTTACGATTACGGAACTCTCAGAACATTTTTCAACGGCCACTCTTAAAAAAAGATTAAATAGATTCGTACAGGCAATATATTTGTTTGTTAAGTTGTCCCTTTAAGGTAGTTCATTCAAAAAGTTCCAATGGGCGGAAAACAATATGTTTTCGAGATTTTAACCAGGTACTGCCTGTTGCTCCAAGCAAAAGAGGTTCAAATAATAGCCTAGCATGCACGGTAGTAAAGGGAGCATCCATCTATAACAGTACAACCTAGAGGTCGTTTCCGTTTCTTAAAACTAACCAAAAATATGCATGTCGAAGATGGTGATGAAAAAGTAATTTCGTGATTGGTTTCGATAACTGGGAACCCTAACCAGTCGCAAAACAGTTAGGAATCAGCGTTGATTAGGCCCTTTATTGATAGAATATGTGAAGTCAATCGCACCTTCACGAGGAATACCACCACATAATCTTACCCTAGGCTAATAGTAGTTTTTTATGTTCATCAGAAACAAATTTAGCATTAGGTTTGGTCAATGGGATGCCTTTACTTTACACTAATTTTGTTAAACCTTTACAAAAGGAGCATACACTTAGAAATAATAATTGGGTCAGGGTGCTAATTCAGCGGTTTTGACCAAGAGTTAAGCTTATCTCAACAACCTTATTTTGCCTTTTATATTTGACGAAGACAATTTCAGATACTTCAATCAGGGAAGCCTTTTTATCATCACTAACCAAAAGACCAGCAAAGCTACCTTAATAAGCCAATATTTATTCACAAACATGTTTGCTGTCTTTAGCAGAGTTAAACCTAACCTAACCTAACCTAACCTAACCTAACCTACATCATCATAGTTGGAGTCATTCTGGGCTCTCTGACTTCCTTCATCTTGTGAAGGTAGGCCCCGAAAAATCCTTGTCCGGTGACCAGCTGAGTGAGATTGAACGAAGGCTACCTCTCCGTGCTCTCGCTCAACCCATCTTTGGAGATCCCCAATAAGTATCACCGTCCCAGTGGCGGCTCTAGGACCTAGTCTAGGGGGGGGCTCCGGGGGGTTTGGGGGGTGTGGAGCACCCCCCAACAGAAGAGGGGGGTCCGGGGGTGGATTTTAAATTTTTAAAGCCGTTTGGTGACTTTCTGAAGCAATTTTAACGCCTAAAACTGTGTCCAATAATAGTCCAAAAACTCCCATTTCACCTGTTGTTTGTCATGCATGAGCAAATAGACATAAGTAGAGTAAAGTAAAGTATATTTTTTAAATATTTTTTACCAATTTATTTAATAGATCAGATTTATTATCCTAATAGAACTAGGCCTATATTAAATATGAATAGATATTGCAAAACATAACAATTAATCCTCTATTGTGGTTTCTATTTCATAATTCAACTTTTTAAACCTAGTTTTAATTTGTACTGCTCAATTTCGGAATTTTGGGGGAGGGCTTTGACCCTCTAACCCCCTCCCTGCCTACGGCCTTGTAAAACGGGACTACACAGTATTGAACATATAACTAACAATTGATAATTTAATAGTAAAAAATCCACGGCAATAATGAGTAGATAACCAAACGGTAAGGCCTGACATTGATTGAATTGTATAATTTAAACACCCACGGCAATAACGAATAGAAAACCAAACCATGAGGGTAAGGCTTGACTAATTGTATTTTATATTAAAACATCCACGGCAATATGAGTAGAAAACCATACCATGAGGATAAGGCCTAACTTTAATTGTACTGTTTGAATGTGAAATCCATCCTCCTTTCTTTCTGCCCGGCGAAGTGATCTATTACTTTTTCGTTGAAGTTTAAAGTTGACAACAGCTTTTTTTCGATAGAACACATAGCAAGCGCACTTAGTCTGTCTTGTTTCATGGTACTCCTGGTAAACGTTTTAATTCGTTTCAAAGTAGAGAAACAACGTTCACTTTCCGAAGTAGTCATAGGTATTGTGCTTATGATTTTTAAAAGTTTGATTGACTCTGGAAGCACATCTTTGAGGTTGTTGTCATAGACAAAGTTGAGTAGTCTTAATGACCCTGTGGCCGTTGAAAAATCATCCCTATTGTAAATAACATTTAACTCCTGTTTCAATTCAGTTTTATTTAGACTAAATAGTTCCGCAGCAGCGTGTAACTCTTTTTCGGGAAACTTGGTTTTAAACTCCCCAAACAAACTTGGCTGAAACAGTTTTGCCGCGGACAAATGATTTACAAACGTAAAACGGTCATCAATTCCCGACGTAATTATGTCACACACTTCCTTTGCGACGACGCGTTTTTGATCGTCGTGCCTTCTCCGCTTTTTGCTCGATTCGGGTTCACTATCTCTCGGTTGATCTAACATGGTCGAGTTTCTTACGCGATCTACCACAGTTTTGAAATCGCCTACAAATTTAAACGCCTTGACGCAATCAATTGTTGTTTGCTGCAGTTGGTTGTACAGAATGTCACTGTGGGGCAGTATTTGATTGAAAAAGTCCAGCCAGAAAATAAAGTCTTCGTCTTTTAGAATACTTCTTAGGCCAACAGCTTTATTTATTGTGGCATAGTCATTGGTGTCATCGTCGAGTATGTAACTTAAACATTCCTCCAACTCTCTTTGATAATTAAAAATTGTGCTTACAATTCTGGATTTAAAATTCCACCGAGTACCTGAGCTTTTTGGAATACGACGTTTTACTATCTCATCGAGAACTGCAGTTCTCTTTGTTGACTGGGAAAAGAATGATGAAAACCCCTCGATATTACTGAAGAATATCTTAACCTGCTTATTTTGTGTAGCACTGCGTTCAATGATTAAGTTTAATTGATGTGCGTAACAGTGGACAAAATTTGCATTCTTATATTTAGATTTTACACGCGCTTGTACTCCCGTGTGTTGGCCACTCATTACGGAAGCCCCATCGTAGCTCTGGGCAATGACTTTATCAGGAGTTTTGTCGAGGTTTAATTGCTCTAATACTTCAAAAATTGTTTCGCTAACTGATTCTGCATCATGGCCTTTTGGTCTAATAAAAGTGATAAATCGCTCGTGAATCGTGCCATTCAGCTCGTACCTAATAACAAATACTAGTTGGGATAAAGTGGCACAGTCTGTTGTTTCGTCGGCTTCAATAGCAACATAGTCGGTTTGTGTCAATTCGTCACGAATCATTTGCAGACAAACGTAATATATTGAGTCCAATAACTCGTTCTGTATGGTTTTAGACAGACCCAAAAACACTCGGTTATTTGTTTGATTTATGTGCTGTTGCAATGTTACATCCAGCTCCGCCATAAGGTTAACCAAACCACGAAATATGCCAGGATTTTTTGAATTTTCGCGTTCATCATGTCCTCGTAATGCTAATTCAAACGCTCCACAAAATTTAATTGCATCAATTAGCTTACTTAGAATGTATCGATTTTTCGAAACATCTTCATTTTGTTTTTGTATTTTTAACCTATATGCATTGTCCAATTGGCATCTAATATCAACTTTACCTAAAACAGCATATTCTATTGACGCATTTATGTGTTTTTCACTTGTTTTGTGTTTTTTTACTTTTTCCAGTAGATGTTTAAGGTCTGAAATGCCGTCTACAGTCCATGCTCTATCTTGAACCCCCATGACCAAACAAGTGTAGCAGAAAAATGAATTTTTAATTGAACAACCACATAGCCAATCTGCATGATTGTACATATGTGGCGAAAATTTTCGTGTGAAGCTATTCTTATTCTTTGAACTGTTTTGAATTTGGTTTATGTTCATGAAAGGTCTAGGAGGTCCTAATTTTTTCAAAGAAATTCTGTGGTCAATATTTTTGATCCCTTCATTGATAATCAGGCTAACTTCGTTAGTGACGTTAGCCGTCGACGACAACGAAATGCCGCCGTCCATTAATATTTAGATTTAGGCCTTCAGCCCACGGCAAATTTACCCGTAATAACTTATTAAGACTTAATAATAAGTAACTATAACTAAAATTGTCCGAGTCACTTTACCTATGGTTAGTTTACTTAGTTTTCGGGTTGATTAGGTTAGCCTATACTAAAACTACAGACGTAACTTAGGCTATTGACTCAAAGATACCAACTAACTAACTCAATCAATTATAACTATTAATAATTTCTACTTAGCTCTTTCAATCTTCAACAAACTACCGCTGCCTTCCTTACGCCTCCATCACTATCACTAAACACTATTGATCACAAAACAACAGGTCGTTTGGCACTAAACTATAACTGAACTGTGGTCATGGACATGGAAAGAAGTGAGGTTAGTTAATGTTTATGGTAGTGACAGTGTGGATGATGGCTCCAGCGCTGCCAACATGGTTCTTCCTATCCTAATCGTGTGTGATGCAGAATTATCCAGTTTAGGGTGGCTGCCCTGATTTATGGATGCGCGCGCAGCTTTGGACTCTGCCCCAGAGTCCCTATTGTAAAGCATTGGAATGACGTCACGGCA